CATTCAACTTTTTTTTCTTAGTGTAAAGACAAACCTTTTTGTGCATTTGAATGATTCCATGGATGTTAAAGGTTCTTCACTGAACTATTTAAATAAATAAAAAATAATATAATATATATAAATTTAATTTAATTTATTCTCCCCCCCCCCAAAAAAAAACATAGTACAAATTTTCATTCTAGGAAAGCCTGGAAATCACAATTTTAATATTTTCAAAATGTATAAGATCCCTTAAGCGATTTTCATTCTGTTCATATCTTTATGAATTTATTTATCATATAAAATTTTATAGCATATAATAGCACTGATTAGAGTGGCATTTATATTATTTATATGTTAACACTTTAAACAAAGGTCTTATTAGTTACTGTTTGTTATTGCATTAACTAATATTAACTAAAAATGAGCAAATAAATGTTACAGTATCTTGATTAATAAAAATACAACTATTTATTGCTAGTTCATGTTAGCTCCATTAAATAATATAAGCAGACACAACTTTTGATTTTATAATGTATTATTAAAAGTTGAAATTAACATGAACTAAGATTAATAAATGCAGTCATTGTTATTTCATGTTAACTAATGTTAATGGAACCTGTTAAGTGTTACCGAACGATAATAACGAATCAGTCAATATATAGGTAGGCCATGTTTTCGGTAAGATTAAAATAAAAGTTTAAGTTTGAAAATAAATAGCTTAAGTCTTTATGTATGAATTATTTGGTGCTATGGTGAAGACTAAAGCGAATATAAACATGTAAATGACTGTTTGAAACAAAGTAGCGCTGCTGCTTTGTTTACAGGGTTGCCGTGGTAACGGCTGCCTTACCCTCTAGTGCCGCATGTGTGTTTTCACTCGCTCCGCTTCTCATCTGTGCATCGCCTTTTTAACGTTCAATAATCATATGAGGCTGTATCGCTGTTTTTCCATAAATTAACTGAAGAAATTAATACATGTGTAATAGGCTACCGTGTAAGTTAGGATGTTTAATAAATTGTATTTGCACTCATGCTCCTAAATAGATTTTCCAGTTCCCACACATCTATTTTTAGTCGCAAATGCGAGTGAAATGCTGGCACTGTCGAGCCCTGATCATCCAAACAGAGCCAAACAGAGTCGTGTGATCATCGCAGCTGTGCTCTTCTGTGTTCAGGTGTGCCCGTCACCACAGAGCTGCTGAACAAACAGGTGAAGGTGAGTGCTGAGATGGCCATCTTCATCACCATGAACCCCGGTTACGCCGGACGCTCCAACCTGCCCGATAACCTCAAGAAGCTCTTCAGGAGTCTGGCCATGACCAAACCGGACCGGCAGCTGATCGCTCAGGTCATGCTGTACTCGCAGGGCTTCCGCACCGCTGAGATCCTCGCCAAGAAGATCGTCCCGTTCTTCAAGTGCGTCTGCGTCTGCTTCAGCTGTTGTTGTGCATGTGTGAAGTGGTAACGTAACCCTGCTTTGGTCTGTGGTTGCAGGTTGTGTGACGAGCAGCTGTCGTCTCAGTCTCACTATGACTTCGGTCTGCGAGCGCTCAAGAGCGTGCTGATCAGCGCCGGGAACGTCAAGAGAGAACGCATCCAGAAGATCAAGAGAGAGAAGCGTGAGCGCGGCGAGGACGTGGATGAGAACGAGATCGCAGAGAACCTTCCGGAGCAGGAGGTGAGATGAGCGAACAGAAGCAAAGCCTTCAAGCCACTTTACTGCCGTTTCCAAATCAAACAGAACGTGTGAAGAGCATGAGAGCTGACTGGTCAAACGTGTCTCCATATTACAGGAGATATAGAAAAAATAAAAGGGCTTCAAGTCTAATTCATTTCTGTTCTTTTCACGAAACACTGTTTCAAAACTTCCTTACGTAACATCATGATGTTTATAAGATCTTCATATCTTCGTACCTTACAGTAATGCAGATTAGAGCTGAACGATAATATAAATTTTGAAACGATACAAACAATCAAGCGGTTGAGATTTGTTATATAGTATAAACGGCTTTATGTGAATGTACTTGTATGTATGCAGATTAAAGTTAGACATATTTCCAACATTTTTTTATTTAATAAAAAGAGTTGGGCGATGATAGTTAAATTTGGCAACAACAAAAAAATCAGGCTGGGTTCAGCAGAGAAGTTTGTTTTATGTGACTTTTTAGCTTTTATTTTTTGTAATCTTATCATTTTGATAAGAGCTTATGAAGATTAACTTTCACAGTAAAACGGGGAACATGAATGACAGAAAACAGACTTGTTGTTATATCTGTGATCTCTGACCGCGCTTCATGCGCTCGATCCTCAGATTCTGATCCAGAGCGTGTGTGAGACCATGGTGCCGAAGCTGGTGGCCGAGGACATCCCGCTGCTCTTCAGCCTGCTCTCTGACGTGTTCCCCGGCGTCCAGCTGACTGGTCAAACGTGTCTCCATATTACAGGAGATATAGAAAAAATAAAAGGGCTTCAAGTCTAATTCATTTCTGTTCTTTTCACGAAACACTGTTTCAAAACTTCCTTACGTAACATCATGATGTTTATAAGATCTTCATATCTTCGTACCTTACAGTAATGCAGATTAGAGCTGAACGATAATATAAATTTTGAAACGATACAAACAATCAAGCGGTTGAGATTTGTTATATAGTATAAACGGCTTTATGTGAATGTACTTGTATGTATGCAGATTAAAGTTAGACATATTTCCAACATTTTTTTATTTAATAAAAAGAGTTGGGCGATGATAGTTAAATTTGGCAACAACAAAAAAATCAGGCTGGGTTCAGCAGAGAAGTTTGTTTTATGTGACTTTTTAGCTTTTATTTTTTGTAATCTTATCATTTTGATAAGAGCTTATGAAGATTAACTTTCACAGTAAAACGGGGAACATGAATGACAGAAAACAGACTTGTTGTTATATCTGTGATCTCTGACCGCGCTTCATGCGCTCGATCCTCAGATTCTGATCCAGAGCGTGTGTGAGACCATGGTGCCGAAGCTGGTGGCCGAGGACATCCCGCTGCTCTTCAGCCTGCTCTCTGACGTGTTCCCCGGCGTCCAGTACATGCGTGGAGAGATGACGGCGCTGCGAGAGGAGCTGAGGAAGGTCTGCGCTGAGATGTACCTCACGTACGGAGACGGAGACGACGTGGGCAGCATGTGGGTGGAGAAGGTAAGACGCGCTTCATAGTACAGCACACACAGAGAGCCATGAGTCCTGACCCGTTCCGACGTTATTCTGACCTTTACTTGATAAAAATCAGTCGAGATTTGACTCGTGACGCTCCAGCTCCAGAATTACACTGAAAGAGCTTCGACTGGATAAAAACCTCTAAACTCTCAATCAGAGACAGAAGATGTGCAGCAGATTGAGTGACAGCAGAGTTTGATCAAGCGGATCATTTCGAGGCCTTAGAAATTCACATCAAATATGATACAGCAGCTTTGAAAGGTTAAATTAAAAACAAGGATCTAGATGTGTCCTGTTCTGCGTCCTTCTCTATTATCACTCTGTTTTTGTCCTTCACTTGTATTTGTCAGTTTTTAGAGCCTCTTGTGTTTAATCCACAGATCCAGAGAGACGCTGCTGCAGTTCTGCAGCCGTATTTCACCTCCACCGGTCTGGTGATCAAAGCTCTGGAACACGCGTCAAAGATGGAGCACATCATGGACTTCACGCGTCTGCGCTCGCTGAGTTCGCTCTTCTCCATGCTGCATCAGGCCTGCCGCAACGTGGCCCTCTACAACAACAACCACCATGATTTCCCCATGCCCATCGACCAGCTGGAGAAATACATGCAGGTGTGACGTGTGAACGAGCCGGTCCGTGTGTTTACATGCTACATGAGTGAGAATAAATGACACATGCTAACTTTGAGCATGTCGTGCAGAAATACCTCATCTACGCGGTGCTGTGGTCCTTCTCGGGCGACAGCAGGCTGAAGATGCGAGCGGAGCTGGGAGAATACATTCGCCGCATCACCACCGTGTCTCTCCCGTCCGCGCCCAACGCGCCGCTCATCGAGTGACGTGTGAACGAGCCGGTCCGTGTGTTTACATGCTACATGAGTGAGAATAAATGACACATGCTAACTTTGAGCATGTCGTGCAGAAATACCTCATCTACGCGGTGCTGTGGTCCTTCTCGGGCGACAGCAGGCTGAAGATGCGAGCGGAGCTGGGAGAATACATTCGCCGCATCACCACCGTGTCTCTTCCGTCCGCGCCGAACGTGCCGATCATCGACTACGAGGTGCGAGCAGACGCAGTCTCGGATCGAGTGTGATGTTTGAGTGCGACTCTAACGCTGCTCTGAATCCGTCAGGTGTCCATCACGGGCGAGTGGCAGTCCTGGCAGGTGAAGGTGCCTCAGATCGAGGTGGAGACGCACAAGGTGGCCTCGCCGGACGTGGTGGTGCCCACTCTGGACACGGTGCGTCACGAGGCTCTGCTCTACACCTGGCTGGCCGAACACAAGCCTCTGGTGCTCTGTGGGCCGCCGGGCTCCGGGAAAACCATGACCCTGTTCAGTGCCCTGAGAGCCCTGCCGGACATGGAGGTGAGAGCCAGTCGACGATCACTGGACACTGTAATAGATTACATTCGAAAAGCCACTGTTTCTTCCTACAGATGAACCAATGCAGTGTTCCTAAAGCAGATCCACTGGCACAGCTGTGTTCTGTGATGTGATGCTGGGTCGACTGCTTGGACACTTGTGAAATGTGTTTTCTCCAGGTGGTGGGTTTGAACTTCTCCAGCGCTACGACTCCGGAGCTGCTGCTGAAGACCTTCGATCATTACTGCGAGTACCGCAGGACTCCTAACGGCGTGGTTCTGGCTCCGGTGCAGCTGGGCAAGTGGCTGGTGCTCTTCTGCGACGAGATCAACCTGCCAGACATGGACAAGTACGGCACGCAGCGGGTCATCTCCTTCATCAGACAGGTGCGTGTGCGAGCGTCTCGCTGAGTCCGGCCTCTGCTGCGTGTCTGTCTGCGGTGTAACCCGTGCTGTGTTGTGTTCAGATGGTGGAGCACGGCGGCTTCTACCGCACCTCAGACCAGACCTGGGTGAAGCTGGAGCGGATCCAGTTCGTCGGGGCCTGTAATCCTCCCACAGACCCCGGCAGGAAGCCGCTCTCCTACAGGTTCGCCTGTCGCCATCACTGCTAATAAAGCCAGAGATGTGTTCAGTGATGTCCTGACCTAACTCGTGTGAGCGTTTACAGGTTTTTGCGTCACGTGCCGGTGGTGTATGTGGACTATCCCGGCCCCGCCTCACTCACGCAGATCTACGGCACCTTCAACAGAGCCATGCTCAGACTCATCCCGTCGCTGCGGACCTTTGCTGAGCCGCTCACGGCAGCCATGGTCGAGTTCTACACCATGTCTCAGGTTTGCATTTAAACCGCTGAACGCTCATGCGTTTGTCTCCTGAGCTGATGAAAAGTTTATCTTGACTGCTTTGTGTTTGAGCAGGAGCGGTTCACTCAGGACACGCAGCCGCACTACATCTACTCCCCGAGAGAGATGACCCGCTGGGTCCGAGGCATCTTTGAGGCGCTGCGGCCGCTGGAGACGCTGCCTGTGGAGGGTCTGATTCGCATCTGGGCTCACGAAGCACTGCGACTCTTCCAGGACCGGTGAGTTTAAGGCTCTTTTCAGATCTGAAGAAACTCTACAGGAATGCAGGGCATGTCTGCTAAAATAAAGAACTGTCAGTGTGTATGTTTCCATCCACCTACTTTTATGCCAATTTTGGAATATTGCATTAAAAAAAACACTGGAAGGAAATGCCATGATGTGCATAAGTTCTAAAAATGTGCATTTTGTGCAATCAGTTGAGTCAGATTTATCTGATAAGAAGACATGCGCATAAACTACGATGGAAACCCATTTACTGAATAAATTCCTCGGTGCACGTCAAATTAATGTGACTTTGCCTCAGCAGATCATGTGACTGGATAACTGGATTAATCTGATAACGTAACAGGGCTGGGCGATATAGCTAAAAAAAATTATCACGATGTAATGTTTCATAGCATTAGATATCGATAATAATTGATTTTTTTTATAACCTTTTTTAAACCGTAGAAAAAAAGATTAAATTTTAACCACTGTATTTTTAAATAACCACAAACAACAACTTATTTTAGTTTTAACAGTCAAACACAAAATTAAATTGAAACATACCTCCTTTTTTTAATATTTTATCTGCAGATTGAATAAGTGTTCAGTGTCTCCTGAGGCCACAGGAGGGCGACGAGCAGAATAATGCACCTCATTAAACTGTTTATTCAATGCAATGAAAATAACGGCTGTCTATAAAAAGTGCATACCGTCTAAACTTATATTTATAAATCAAATATGATTTTGCAAATTGCATAAACGATTATGAACAAAACGGCATCATGTATTTATGCATAGCTTAATACAAATAGCCAAAGCACCGATCACACGATTGCATTTAAAAACATACGAGACGCAGTGGAATGGAATAAAACCCCAAATTCTCCAGACGTGTTTTCTAAAAGTTGAACCTCTTAACTTTACAAGGCTTTCTATTCATCTCTTGTGCGAGACGCGAGTGTTCAGTTGTAGTTGTGCGTCTCAAGAATGCGCCGAATATGCGTTCTGTGTGAATAGCTTGGTTTCGGTTTTAACCTAAACAATATCTTCTCTGCATTGAGCTTCTGTATTTCTCTAATATTTTGAATGAAAAACGCAACAGCGGCGCATCTTGTGGGTTCAACTGGATAAACCAAAACATTAAAATGCACATCCTCACCGTATCTCGCGCACCGCTGATAAGCTCTCTGACGCACACCTAAAACTCAAATACACCATTTTTGCATTTGAATGCAAATTTTTATTTTAAATTCAACTAATATTCCTATTTTAGATTCACAGTGTCCTCATCGCAGGCACTTGTTGTTTTCTAAAAGTTGAACCTCTTAACTTTACAAGGCTTTCTATTCATCTCTTGTGCGAGACGCGAGTGTTCAGTCGTAGTTGTGCGTCTCAAGAATGTGCCGAATATGCGTTCTGTGTAAATGGCTTGGTTTCGGTTTTAACCTAAACAATATCTTCTCTGCATTGAGCTTCTGTATTTCTCTAATATTTTGAATGAAAAACGCAGCAGCGGCGCATCTTGTGGGTTCAACTGGATAAACAAAAACATTAAAATGCACATCCTCACCGTATCTCGCGCACCGCTGATAAGCTCTCTGACGCACACCTAAAACTCAAATACACCATTTTTGCATTTGAATGCAAATTTTTATTTTAAATTCAACTAATATTCCTATTTTAGATTCACAGTGTCCTCATCGCAGGCACTTGTTTCAGCATGTGTTTGTGTTCTGTTGGCTCTCTGCTTCTCAATCATAATGTACCTTTAAATTAAAAAAGCGTGAAACTATCGTGAGCATCGTTTAGATTAGGGGTTTTCAACCTGTGGGGGGTGCAAGCATCAGTTAATTCTCTTGAGAATTTATGAATATGAGTTAACAAATCTTTAGCCATCCACTAGGGGGCAATCTGACTCCCACTGCTAGTCGACAGTTAGAGCAGAGTTGGCTTGAGTATCAGTCACGCTCTGTGTTGCCAAGTCCACAGTTTTCCGGTAAGATGATTTACGATTAGCCGTGTCGGAAATCCAAACACGGATTGGCATGTTATCTCAGAAACCGGCCCAGCCATCACACTGAATCGGGTAAACTGGTTATATATTTATGTTTCAGTATAATTACGCACGCTATACCAGGGGCGGTTCTAAACCCTTTTTAGGTGGGTTTCAGCCCCCCTATCTGTCACCTTAGCCCCCCAAAACTATCTTAACGATCAGGCCAGTGCTGCTTCCTCAAGAAAGTTTTTCATTCTCGCGTGTTTTAAGTCTTGTCAGTTTAAACATTAAAGTAATTTTAAGCCATTTAAGCCCAAGACATCTCAATGCGGTACTCACGCACTGTGATAGAGCGTTTCGTTGCGCACCGCTCACACACCTGAAGTGCACAAACTGATAGCCTTCTCAGACAGCAGGTGAACAGGTCTTGACAAGTATCCTTGTAAGCACAGTCGGTTGTTTTAAGTGAATGTAAACAGTAAAGAAAATATCAAATGTACATCAGTATAACGGATCCGTGCATTTCTTATGTAAATAATGTTAATAAAAAACAGTCTGTCTGGCACACGTCATTTATTACGTAGGAAAAAAGAGCCACAGGTTTCCCGGGTGCAGCAAGTTAAATTTTTATTGTTGATTCCTTGCATCTGTTTCCCTGGAAGTGGTTTTGCTCTTTTGAACATGGGATAAAAGCGGTGCTTTGTTTGCAAATGTTTTATGCAATAAATGCTAATGCTGACTCCTGTGTGCTCGCTCACTAACCGGAGAAGGGCAAATGTGTGATTGTGTGGTGGATGGGTGTCACGTGTTTGCTCTGGCTGGACTGATGGTGTTTCTCCTCAGGTGTGTGCTCAACTGGTTTGGCGATTGGTCCACTGAAGCGCTCTATCAGGTGGGTAAAGAGTTCACCAGCAAGATGGACCTGGAGAAGCCCAACTACAAAGTGCCGGACTACATGCCCACCGTGTATGACAAGCTGCCGCAGCCGCCCACACACCGCGAGGCTATCGTCAACGGCTGTGTGTTCGTGCATCAGACGCTGCACCAGGTCAGAGAGCGTCTCGCTCGCCATCTGATGAGGTGCATACTGCTTTCAGAGCATGCTGTAATGCTTTATTTCTCTGTGTGTGTGTTAGGCTAACAACCGTCTGGCGAAGCGCGGCGGCCGCACTATGGCCATCACCCCGCGACACTACCTGGACTTCATCAACCACTACGCCAACCTGTTCAACGAGAAGCGCAGCGAGCTGGAGGAGCAGCAGATGCATCTGAACGTGGGTCTGCGCAAAATCAAAGAGACCGTCGATCAGGTGTGTGCTTCACACGACATCACGCATGCAGACGCATGAGCTCGTTTAGCGTTATTAACCGTGTGACGTCACAGGTGGAGGAGCTGCGGCGCGACCTGCGGATCAAGAGTCAGGAGCTGGAGGTCAAGAACGCTGCTGCCAACGACAAGCTGAAGAAGATGGTGAAAGACCAGCAGGAGGCCGAGAAGAAGAAGGCAAGACTCATCGTTCAGCGCATCGCTTCAGTGCTCTTGTGCCGCTGCTCTCGTAAATAACCTGACAGGTGTTGTTCTGCTTAACAGGTCATGAGTCAGGATATACAGGAAGCGGTTTACAAGCAGCAGGAAGTGATTAAAGTCAAGCAGCTGAGCGTGAAGCAGGATTTGGACCAGGTGGAGCCGGCCGTCATCGAGGCTCAGAACGGTACGGTTCGCTCCGCTCTCCTCTGCGCTTCCACTGCTGGTGCTGCTGTTTGTCCAGATTCACATGTTGAGAGAATCTGCTCACCTTTAATACAGTATCAGATTGAAATTATTTTTCCTGTCAGTTGTGATCCACTAAGGAAATATTCACTGGTTTAAAGGTGCTGTATGTAGGATTGACACCCAGTGGTTGAACTAGGTATTGTAGTCCAAATTCAAAATATTGGAGAGGGTTTTTTTCACCCGGCATGTGATGCACACAACAGGAACGAGCGCACATGACGATGAATGAAAAGTGTTTTCCGCCAACTAGCAACCCGGGGTGCCGAAATACAATTGGGTAAACTGGCAGTGGGCGGTTTACACAGAACAAGACTGCCTGGGACGCACATTTTGGAGGAGCAGCAGATGCATCTGAACGTGGGTCTGCGCAAAATCAAAGAGACCGTCGATCAGGTGTGTGCTTCACACGACATCACGCATGCAGACGCATGAGCTCGTTTAGCGTTATTAACCGTGTGACGTCACAGGTGGAGGAGCTGCGGCGCGACCTGCGGATCAAGAGTCAGGAGCTGGAGGTCAAGAACGCTGCTGCCAACGACAAGCTGAAGAAGATGGTGAAAGACCAGCAGGAGGCCGAGAAGAAGAAGGCAAGACTCATCGTTCAGCGCATCGCTTCAGTGCTCTTGTGCCGCTGCTCTCGTAAATAACCTGACAGGTGTTGTTCTGCTTAACAGGTCATGAGTCAGGATATACAGGAAGCGGTTTACAAGCAGCAGGAAGTGATTAAAGTCAAGCAGCTGAGCGTGAAGCAGGATTTGGACCAGGTGGAGCCGGCCGTCATCGAGGCTCAGAACGGTACGGTTCGCTCCGCTCTCCTCTGCGCTTCCACTGCTGGTGCTGCTGTTTGTCCAGATTCACATGTTGAGAGAATCTGCTCACCTTTAATACAGTATCAGATTGAAATTATTTTTCCTGTCAGTTGTGATCCACTAAGGAAATATTCACTGGTTTAAAGGTGCTGTATGTAGGATTGACACCCAGTGGTTGAACTAGGTATTGTAGTCCAAATTCAAAATATTGGAGAGGGTTTTTTTCACCCGGCATGTGATGCACACAACAGGAACGAGCGCACATGACGATGAATGAAAAGTGTTTTCCGCCAACTAGCAACCCGGGGTGCCGAAATACAATTGGGTAAACTGGCAGTGGGCGGGTTACACAGAACAAGAATGCCTGGAACGCACATTTTCAAAGGAGAATAACTTACTGTAGCATTGTTTTGCAGATAAACAAGTATGTTAACTTGGCATGTTTCTTAAATGTCTGCAAACATATTATGGTATTTTTATGCTTTAGTAGGGTCAAAAACTTACATACAGCACCTATAAGAGCCCAGGTGAGGCGTGTATGACCTCAGAGTTTACACTCCATGTTTGAGAAACATTTGGCTAATAATCAAAACGCCTATTTATACATCTGCTCTAAAACAAGAAGCGCCACCTAGTGGCAGGCAGTGCTTTAACCGTGACTGTCAGTGGCCGGAGACGTCAGTGGACATTTCCTTCAGTTCTTTCTGCTCTCAGCTTGCTCTTGAGTGTTTGCCAGCGGCGTTCGGTGGTCTTTTCCCTGCGCTAACCTCTTCCTGTCTTCACTCTTTCCCCTTCTCACGGCTTGTGGCTTGTTTAGCTGTTAAATCGATTAAGAAGCAGCACTTAGTGGAGGTGCGATCGATGGCCAACCCGCCGGCGGCAGTCAAGCTGGCTCTGGAGTCCATCTGTCTGCTGCTGGGCGAGAGCACCACCGACTGGAAGCAGATTCGCTCCATCATAATGCGCGAGAACTTCATCCCCACTATTGTGAACTTTTCTGCTGATGAGATCAGGTGACTGACTGCGGGGTGCGGAGCGGCGGCGTAGCGTGTAAAGAGGACGAGCGTGATCCTCGTCTCTGCGCGAGACACAAACTTAAGATCAAATGAACTGCTGGCCCAGAATGATGGGCTGGAGCTCTGATTGGTTCGTCATGTGACACGGTTCCTCTTTCCGGCTCCGCGGCTGCTCCGCTCCCCCGCGTGAACCCATGTGTCCTCATGGTCCTAAACCACACACCTCCATTCCCTCTCTAGCGGTCAGCTCGATTAAGAAGCAGCATCTGGTTGAGGTTCGCGCTATGGCCAACCCTCCGGCAGCCGTTAAACTGGCTCTAGAGTCGATCTGCCTCCTGCTGGGGGAGGAGACTAGTGACTGGAAAAAGATCAGACAAGTTATTATCAGAGACAATTTCATCTCCAGCATAGTCAACTTTGTCTCTGAGGACACGAGGTATTATCATCCTTCATACTACTTCCTCTCAGGTATGAGACGGACTCTGTCTGTCATTCAGACGCCACCGCATGGATTCCCAAACCGGGGTTCATGAGTCGATGAAGAGCTGACAATAAAATTGTAAATGTAATGTTAGAATAAATAAATAAACCTTTCAAATAAAACACTAAAAATAGGTTAGATATTCTGTTTAGCTGCATGTCATGTGACCATTAACTGACTGAACACGCAAATGTCTTTAGTTATTGAAATTAGGGCTGTCAAGCGATTTTAAAAAGTTTTAATCTAATTAATTACATGATGTGCCGAATAATCACACATCAATTTATGCTGATAAAGTACCCCCCAAAAGATTAAAGTCATTCTGTTAAGAAAATGCAAGATATTACGATAGACATTGCACAAAAGTAGCTTTAGAAAGAAATATTTTGATTCCATATTGAAAAAAAATTTTTTTTAGATTAAAAAAATGAAATGATACTCTAAATAAGAAACTACTAACTCCAGTAGGTGGCAGAAAGTCACTGTCTTAAAAAGTGAGTCATTGAATCATTCATTCAACCAATTCGTTCAAACAGCTGATTCATTCAGAAGCGAAGCAAGTGACTGCCTTTATGAACGAGTCACTGAATCATTGACTCACTCGACCTTGGATTCGTTCAGAAATGAATCACTGCTGTGTGTTGTTCAGAGACGCTCAACAGTTCTGCTGTAACTTTGATTGGAACTTTTTGTTTGTGAAATGAGCAATATTGACACTACTGTTTTTAAAAGATAACAATATTTTGTTTATTGAACTCTATTGATCAGTCATCCTGCATTTATTGATCAGACACTGCATCAGGTCTGGGGTTAAATGCGTTAATAATCTTAGGATATTTTTCCGTAATCACACCTAATTAACACGTTAAATCGACAGCCCTAATTAAAATATAGTAACTTCAGGTCTCAGGGGGACTGGAAGAAAATCTCTTAGCTCAAAGGGGTTTGGCTGACAAAAAGTTTGTAAATCCCCGAGATCGTGTGTGAAGGTACAGGAGTGTGTAGATGTTGTAGTCGAGTTCATCCTCATTCTGTGTCATGATGAAATCACAGTCGGCTTCATTCTAACACGCTCTTCCTGCGTCCCAGTGACTCCATCCGTGAGAAGATGAAGAAGAACTACATGTCCAACCCCAGCTACAACTACGAGCAGGTGAACCGGGCGTCTCTGGCCTGTGGGCCGATGGTCAAGTGGGCCATCGCTCAGGTACGACACTGACCGCTGAAGCTCTGCGCGAGCGCGGCGACTCGCTGCTGATCTCTGGCTCTGTGTTCAGCTGAATTACGCAGACATGCTGAAGCGGGTCGAGCCGCTGAGGAACGAGCTGCAGAAGCTGGAGGATGACGCTAAAGACAACAAGACGAAGGCCGAGGAGGTGGAGCAGATGATCCGGGATCTGGAGAACAGCATCGCACGCTATAAGGAGGAGTACGCCGTGCTCATCTCTGAAGCGCAGGCCATCAAAGCTGATCTGGCTGCTGTGGAGGCGAAGGTACGAACACGACCGCCAATGAGATGAGCACATTTCAATATTGCTGCTCCTAAGAGGAAATTGTTTTACTCTGTTGATGCCATTGAAAAGGTTTTTAATCAAGTTACTCCAAATGTAATTTAATAAAAATGTCTTTTTAATAATTTAAATCTGGTTTTAGATATGAAAAGAGCCAAAGAAGCTGGCGTGGTGTTCAAAAATCAAGCCAACAAACAATGCATTTCATTTGTTCCTCATTTGAAAGTTGAATACAACATGAAAACCTCTCGAAGCACGTTCACAGAGCTTCTGGCTAGTTGTAATATTCTCTGAACAGCTGTCTGTTAAGCTTGACTAGTCTTCTAATCTCTGTGCAGGTGAACCGCAGCACAGCCCTGCTGAAGAGTTTATCTGCTGAGAGGGAGCGATGGGAAAAGACCAGCGAGACCTTCAAGAACCAGATGTCCACCATCGCTGGAGACTGTCTGGTCTCCGCCGCCTTCATCGCTTACGCTGGTTACTTTGACCAGCAGATGAGACAGAACCTCTTCACCACCTGGTCCCATCACCTCCAGCAGGCCAACATTCAGGTACAGAGAACGTCACCGAATAATGCCATAATGCAGCACTGAGCGCTTTAGATCTTGAAACCTGCGCTTTCTCCCGTCCAGTTCCGCACGGACATCGCCAGGACGGAATATCTGTCCAATGCGGACGAGAGGCTGCGCTGGCAGGCTAACTCACTGCCCGCTGACGACCTGTGCACCGAGAACGCCATCATGCTGAAGCGCTTCAACCGGTGAGAGCCGGAACGGGACGGGTGGGTTACTGAAGGACTCTTGCTGATTTCTCACGCGTCTGTCGTGTTCTGCAGGTATCCGCTCATCATCGACCCATCAGGTCAGGCCACGGAGTTCATCATGAACGAATATAAAGACAAAAAGATCACCCGCACCAGCTTTTTGGACGATGCCTTCAGGAAGAATTTGGAGAGCGCTCTGAGATTCGGCAACCCTCTGCTGGTGCAGGTACGAGGCCTCATTATTACTCTAGAAACGTCCAGCTCCGTCTTCATCTGTCAGGGTCTGGGTGTTTGCTCATTAATGCCTGTGTGTCACTGATTCTCTGTCAGGACGTGGAGAGCTACGACCCCATCCTGAACCCGGTGCTCAACCGAGAGGTGCGCAGGACCGGCGGCCGAGTGCTCATCACGCTCGGAGATCAGGACATCGATCTGTCTCCTTCCTTCGTCATCTTCCTCTCCACACGAGACCCCACGGTAATGCTCTTATTGCCCAGATCTCACGTGCTTTACACTGTCTGTGAGCTATCAGATAAAGGATAATGACAGAAATCATAAATGCTCACAGGTATTTTCCTGATTAATTATGCAGCACAACACACGGTAACGGTTGAATTGTGACATGTCTTTGCAGGTGGAGTTCCCTCCTGACCTTTGCTCGCGTGTAACCTTCGTGAACTTCACCGTGACCCGCAGCAGCCTGCAGAGCCAGTGTCTCAACGAGGTCCTGAAGGCTGAGCGTCCGGACGTGGACGAGAAGCGATCGGACCTGCTGAAGCTGCAGGGTGAGCGACGGAGAGCGTCACAGGAAGTGCTGTTGGCTCATTAATAGTGCTGGTGTGTAAACGTGGTTCTGTTGAATCCGTGCAGGTGAGTTCCAGCTGCGTCTGCGTCAGCTGGAGAAATCACTGCTGCAGGCCCTGAACGAGGTCAAGGGTCGCATCCTGGACGATGACACCATCATCACCACCCTGGAGAACCTGAAGAAGGAGGCGGCGGAGGTGACCAGGAAAGTGGAGGAAACGGACATCATCATGCAGGAAGTGGAGACGGTGTCTCAGCAGTATCTGTCTCTGTCCTCGGCCTGCAGCAGCATCTACTTCACCATGGAGGCTCTGAACCAGGTCACACGTCTGCAGCGCTCATCGCTGTGTGTGTGTGTGTCTGTTAGGGGTGGGCGATATACCAGCAGACACGATTAACCGGCAGAAATTTCTCAACCAGCAGAGATTATGGACTATCGTCTCTATCGCAGTTACACACTGATCACGAAAACTTATCGTCTGCACGTGTTTTTAAGCATTGCGGTCTGAAAACAAGTGATTTTTAGCCGTTAAAAACTCAATCAGCAGTGAAAGAGAACTTATTTGGCTATATCTATATATTTGGCCACATTGCCCACCCCAGTCAGAGTGCGCGCGAGAGAGTGCGCGAGCGCGAGTGTGTGTGTCTGAGCGTGAGCGTGCGATAGTGAGTGATTGTGAGTGTGAGTGTGTGTGTGTGTGTGCATTTGCGCCTGTGAACTTTGGCTCATGCTGGATCCGTCTCTTTCACAGATGCACTTCCTGTATCAGTACTCGCTGCAGTTCTTCCTGGATATCTACCACACTGTATTATACGAGAACTCCAACCTGAAGAGCGTGAGCGACCACACACAGCGTCTGTCTCACATCACCAAAGACCTGTTCCAGGTGAGGAACGCTGCGTCTGAGCACTGAAGGCCTTTCACACCAAACGCAAATGTTCAGAGTCTCGTCTCACACACAAAAACAGATTCATTTTCCTGTTCAGTTAATAAAAACCCACAGGGAAAAAAAAAAAAAAAGAATTTTATGCAAACCTGCAATCATCAAATGATGCAGATACAGTCCACCTGACTCTTTTTCTAGTATGTTTTCTGCTGAACTTACACACATTTAACTGTACAAGTAACCGCAGATTAGTTAAAGCAACTGTATGTAGTTGTGTATTTTTGTGACTTTGGAGCCCTCTACAGTTGAGTGGAATAATTACAGTGGATCGGTGCACATGTGCATTTGTTGCTGCTGTAAATAAAGTTTTGTACCGGCTCACCAAACTTACACACTCCCAGAACAGATGTTTGGGAAAGAAACAGACGCCATTCACCATATTAGAAGTATCATAACGATTTTAAAAACTTAGTTGCTTTAACTGTAGTAGAATGTCACCTTGCTGAAATTATGCATTGTGATGTTCTTTGTTTTGCATCGCCTTTGTTGTGAAGGGCCATTGTTTAGGAAATATTTAGTAACGTGTGGTGGTTTTTCTGTTTAGGTGGCGTTTAACCGAGTCGCTCGAGGCATGCTGCATCAGGACCACGTCACGTTTGCCATGCTGCTCTCACGAATCAACCTGAAGGGCATGACCAGGTACAAACCTTTCAGATTTCACAAATGCACTTTCTTCTATAAGGGAGTTAATCTCCACTTGAATTCAGTTACTACTTTCGGTTTTAAAATATTTTGACACGATTTTGCAAATCCTTGTATGTCTGTCCATGCACAGCATCAGTAAGGAAAAAGAGTCATGTTCTGCTTAATATCCTCCACGTGCTTCATTAGTCGTGTAATGAGTTTCACATGAACTTCACGTGTAGTGCGTTTGAATCAGATGACGCTCTTGGTTTCTCTGTGTAAGTGAAGCTTAGGCCTGTGATCGACTAGTGAGACGCTGAACAGACACACATGAGCTAGTGGATGGAGATCAGAGCTGTTTGATTTCTGAGGATGTGCAGCTCAGATGTTTCCTCTCGTGTTTCTCAGCGAGCCGTCATTCGACGCAGAGTTCCAGCACTTCTTGCGTGGGAAAGAGATCGTGTTGAGCGGGACGACGGTGCCGAAAGTCAAGGGTTTGAGCAGCGAGCAGTCCGAGGCCATGGTGCGCCTCAGCCGCCTGCCTGCGTTTAAAGACCTGGTGTCCAAAGTGCAGGCGGACGAGGTGAGCGTCTCTCGTCTGTCTGTCCTGTACGCGTCTGTTCTTCACCGCAGAGCATCTGAATGAGCAATGCCTTTCTGTCCTCCAGCAATTCTTCATGTGGATCGAGAGCAACTCGCCGGAGCTGTCAGTACCGTACCTGTGGACCGAAGAGAAGACGTCCAGTGAGTACAATGCATTTCCACACGCAGCTGCCTGTGAGAAGACTGCAGGACTGACTCGTGTTTGTTGATGTTTGTCCTCAGCTCTGATCGGTCAGGCCGTCCACCAGCTGCTGCTGATCCAGGCGTTCAGACCCGACCGCCTGCTGGCCATGACACACATCTTAGTGTCTAAAGTCATGGGAGAAAACTTCATGGCCATCATGGAACAGCCGCTGGACCTGGCTAACATCGTGGACAGTGAGGTAGGGACGCGTGTCTGTGGTGTGCTGACGCTGTGATGCTGCGGATGCTGCATTAGTGCTTGTGTGTGCAGGTGAAGCCGGGGACGCCGGTGCTGATGTGCTCCGTGCCCGGATACGATGCCAGCGGATTGGTGCGGGATCTCGCGGCTGAGCAGAACAAACACATCACCTCCATTTCCATCGGTACGTACACAACCAGTGTTGGGAAATTACTTTTTCAAGCAACTAGTAAAGTAATGAAAAAGAGGCTCTTCCTTCAGCCTGAGATTATTCATTTCACTTTTGGTGTGAAAGGGCCTTTACAGTTGCCAAAAAAATTACTTTTGGGTTGTTTGTTATTAAAAAAACTAATAACCAAGCGCAGCCCAGGTGACACAAAATAACGCTTAAGTAATGTAATGCATTACTTTTAGTGCTAGGCAACGATTAATCGCATCCAAAATAAAGGTTTTTGTTTACATAATAAATACACACACGTATATTATGTATATATTAATACACACACATACAGTATATATTTTGAAAATAATATATTTATATTCATATAATTTATATTATATATAAATATATTTAATATATAAGTGATTGCGCCGGCAAAATCTGAGCCGTTAAGCGTTATCACCGTACCGCCGTGAATGATTTATGCAAACCATTTTGTTTTACGTGGATATTGGAACGCGAGTGAAGTAGGTAGGCTACATAATAAATAATAATTTGCCATTCAAATAAATCGCGAATACGGAAACATTTGATTTTGTGTGGAATGAGAGACGCAACGTTGGTTTCAGTTTCGTTTTAGCCTAAATGAATTTGTTTTGGCTTGTCGTTTATATTGCTATAGCTTCTTATATTTTTAATTCTTGTTCTTTTCTAAATACTGTTAATTGAAAGGATTTGTTGTGGAGTGAGGGGAACTAAAATAGCCTAGCTATGTTTACAGTGTTTATAATGTTTGTAAACATTTCGTGTCGGCATTAGGCCTATTTCTGAATGAAATAATAAAATGCGACTTATGTTTTTTTTGTTTTTTTGTTTTTTTTTCCTCTTAATTTTTTCAGTGTTAAGTTTCAGATTGTTTGTTGGTTGTATTTATTAGGTTCTACGTAAAAGCCACCAGTGCTGTGCTGTAGTGTCTTTCTGGTTTGTCCCTGTTAAACTAGTGAAGTGTAACACATGTGGTCCATCTTCAGGTTCTGCCGAAGGCTTCAATAAAGCCGACCGAGACATCAACACAGCGGTGAAGTCCGGCAGGTGAGAGGAGATCAGCTGACCCTTCTCACTCCTGATTGGTCAGGTCTGCTGGTCACGTGATCTGACGTGTGTTTGTGTGTCAGGTGGGTGATGCTGGAGAACGTTCACCTGGCTCCCGGTTGGCTGATGCAGCTGGAGAAGAAGCTTCACTCCATGCAGCCGCATGCCTGCTTCCGGCTCTTCCTCACCATGGAGATCAACCCCAAGGTCACGCATCACTTCCTGTGCTCACTGTGTGCTGTCCTGTCATGAGGAATGAGTCGTCTGATGTTGACCGTATCTCCCTCAGGTCCCTGTGAACCTGCTGCGGGCCGGACGTATCTTTGTGTTCGAACCTCCTCCCGGGATGAAGGCTAATATGCTGCGCACGTTCAGCAGTATTCCTGTGGCGCGCATGTGTAAGGTGAGCGCAGCCGCTTCAGATGAACGAGCAGCGATTCCTGCGGCGCTGAATCTCCAGTGCACTCAATCAGATGCATATTTACTTGATTTGTGTGACCTGCGAAACGTAGCACATTTGTGATGGGAAATTGTCATAAGGACCGTTATATTTCAGAAATCACTTTGATAAAAATTTGCATTTTGTGATGCATGGTGAGAGTATAATGATATACGGTCTTCTGTCAGTGTTTGCTGTTATCTGTGAGCTTCTTCAGATGAATCTGAATCAGCAGCATTTTTTCTGAATGTTGCCAGATGTTCATTTCAGAAGAATCTCTTCTTTGTTTGTTTGTTCATCGCTCACGCCTGCCGTCTGTCTCTTCTCTCAGTCTCCAAACGAAAGAGCTCGCTTGTACTTCCTCCTGGCCTGGTTCCACGCCGTCATCCAGGAGCGCCTGCGTTACGCTCCGCTGGGCTGGTCTAAGAAGTACGAGTTCGGAGAGTCGGATCTGCGCTCGGCCTGCGACACGGTGGACACCTGGCTGGACGATACGGCGAAGGTTCGAGTCTGTTCCTCATGTGTGTTGTGCTGTATCTGTGTGTGAGGCTCTGAGCGCCTGTCGTTCTCCGCAGGGCCGGCAGAACATCTCTCCGGATAAGATCCCGTGGGCGGCGCTGAGGACGCTGATGGCCCAGTCCATCTACGGAGGACGCATCGACAACGAGTTCGACCAGCGGCTGCTCAACACCTTCCTGGAGCGTCTCTTCACCACCAGCAGCTTCGACAGCGAGTTCAAGCTGGCGCTCAAAGTGGACGGACACAAGGACATCAAGATGCCCGACGGGATCCGGTCAGCGCAGACCTTTCAGTTTAATCATGTTTCTGTGTGTTCTGTTGGTGTCGTGCTCAGCTTTACAGACAGTGGTGAAATAAAGAAGTTAAAAGCTAGAGCAACTAAAGTGCGGTCACAGTAAAATTTCACAAGCAAGAAAGATCCATTGTTTATTGTGAATGCAGTTCAGACAGAAGTCTATACAGAGTCGCCCTGCATATGATTCGCTCTCATGACTTGTAGCTGGAACAATATTTTCATAATTGGTGAATTTTGATCCATTAACCTGTGAAGCTGAAACGCTCGGTACTGGATAAATCTCTTTATAAGGCAGTGTTTGCAAGACGTGTGTGTGTTTCTGTGGTGCAGGCGTGAGGAGTTCATTCACTGGGTGGAGATGCTGCCGGACACTCAGACTCCATCATGGCTGGGTCTGCCGAGTAATGCAGAGAAGGTCCTGCTCACTACTCAGGGTACGAGCGTCTGCGGGGCTGTCATGAGGACGGTGTTTACTCCTGAACTCTGACCCTTCTCGTCTCCTCCTCTCTTTCTGTCTGTCTGTCTCGAGGTCATTGTCATTTTTTGCAGGCGTTCATCCATTGGTTCTCTGAATCTGAGTTTCGGGCAGAGCACACCTCCTCGGCTGCGTACGCTAGAGTCGTTAGCGCTGACGCAGCGGAGCAGGTGTCCTTCTTCCTCCTCAGCCTCCAGTAGCTGTATTTCACTGCCGTCATGTCACCAGCCCTGCGTCATGTTTCTCCTCACACTTCAGTTCAGTTCAGTCCTGCTCAAACGCATGTCATCCTCAGCGATGCTCTCGTGATCAACAGACGCTGGACTTGCCACGGTGCACCGCTTTCACTTTACTTCAGTGCACTGAACGCCAGGTGGTGCTTTGGGGTCATCTGACTCCAGTGCACAACAACACAAGGCGGTTTGATTTGAATTGGATATTTTAACTATAAATGAAACGTAAAAAATAAAGTTGCATCCGATTAAATTGTCCACCACTGAAACTCTTCATCAGGCGACTACACATAATTGAATTCCATTCAGTCCGGCTTCATTCAGAACGTTTTCCTGGTTTGCACCAAGTGTTAGCCGGATCAGACCGTGGCAAGCCTTCCAGTAACTCTTTTTGAACCTCCTTATTAACACAGTGCCTGAACGTTCAAGTTTTGTCCAGCTGTTAATTTGATCTCCCTCCTTCACTTCCTGTGGGCGTCTCCCTCCCGTACCTCACTTCCTGCTCCCGCGGCCGCTCCTTCCTCCCGCTCAGGCATTGACATGATGGGGAAGCTGCTGAAAATGCAGATGTTGGAGGATGAGGACGATCTGGCGTACGAGACGGAGAAGAAGCAGCGCAGCACGTCCTCGTCTGACACGCAGCCGGCCTGGATGAGGACGCTTCACACCACGGCTCGTAACTGGCTGCAGCTGATCCCGGAGTCTGTGAGCCCGCTCAAACGCACCGTGGAGAACATCAAGGTACGGCCTGAGTTGCACTCGATCACCATGATGTCAGATGATCAGTTCATTCATGCTTCACAGACTTTGAGAAACACTGTTACAGTTCATTTTCTAATGTTTTAAATAGTGCTTTTCTAAGAGAATGTGAAGAACACATTGTTTCATTTCATGTGATTTAATCATGATTTAGAAGTAGGGTTGCAAAGGGGTGGAAAAATTCCGGAAACTTTCCAAAAATCCCTGTAAGATTCCAAAAAATCCTGGAATGTTTCCGAAATTTACTGGAAATGTTCCACCTTTTTGTAACCCTATTTAGAAGTGATACACACCTTTTGCCCCTGATGGCTGCTCAGATTGTGTCTGATCAAACGCTCAGTGTTTTGTTGTTGACTTCCTGAAAGCGTCTGTTCTTCCCAGGATCCTCTGTTCCGGTTCTTCGAGCGCGAGGTGAAGATGGGCTCGCGGATGCTGCAGGACGTGCGTCAGGATCTCACCGATGTGGTGCATGTGTGCGAGGGCAAGAAGAAGCAGACCAACGACCTGCGCACGCTCATCAACGACCTGGTCAAAGGTGAGTCAGCGGAGTGACCTCTGACCCTTCAGATCCGTGTCTGTGCGCGGGGTCACTGAAGCGCTGTGCTGTGCTCCACAGGCATCCTGCCCCGCAGCTGGAGCCGCTACACCGTCCCCGCAGCCATGACCGTCATCCAGTGGGTGGCAGACTTCAGCGAGCGGATCAAGCAGCTGCAGCAGATCTCACAGGGAGCGGCTAGCGGCGGTGCTAAAGAGCTCAAGGTGTCGATCCTCAAAAACACACACATCAGACCGGACTGAGCCACGGCGCAGATCGAGAACATCGACTCGCATGCTTTAGTCACAGCTAACAGACAGTTATCACAGAATATCTCAATAGAGATCGCTAAACTCCAACTTAACAACATGATTTTTCAGATCATAGAGAGTGTGCGGATGGTTGCCAGGTTGGGAAGATTAAGTAAACCACTGGGCTGGAAATGTTTCGGTTTAAGAGGAAAGCTCTGAATGGAGGATTTAAATTCAACCAGGAAAGCTTGTTAGGAAAGCTTGTTACCAAAGTCAAGTCACCTTTATTTCTATAGCGCTTTATACAGTACAGATTGTTTCAAAGCAGCTTTACAGTGATAAACAGGAAAATATTGATTCAGTGATGCAAACAAAGTTCAATTCTGCTGTAAAGCAGCTCTAAAAAGTCATTCAGTTGAAATCAGTTCATTGCTGATTCAGGGCAGTTTAATAACTGTGTAAAGGCCAACAATGATGAGGTTGGTTAATCTATAAAGAGCTTGGTTCCTGAGCGTCCCCAACTAAGCAAGCCAAAGGCGACAGCGGCAAGAAACCAAAACTCCATCGGTGACAGAAATGGAGAAGAAAACCTTAGGAGAAACCAGCGCGATGTGGTTTAATTCCAGCCTGCAACACAGGTCAGACTGGACTGATTCCTTTCTGAATATTTCACCCAGTTCCATCCAAGATCATGCACATGCCAAATTAAATGTTTTCAGAATTAATACTCAGCAGGCGAATATCGCAGACAGTTACGCTTAAATCAAGAGAAGCAGAAATCATGATCACAATTAAAACATGATTTATGAAACAGTTGGGTGCGGTGTTCCTTCTCATCACTGTGAAGCTGCTCTGATTCTGGATTGAATAAAGTGCTGCAGAAAACTTGCAGGACGGCGTGGTCTCCTCTCCAGCTTTCTAAGTGTTGAACAGGCTGTTGTTCTCCTGCAGAACATCCATGTGAACCTGGGCGGTCTGTTCGTGCCGGAGGCCTACATCACAGCCACGCGTCAGTACGTGGCTCAGGTCAACAGCTGGTCTCTGGAGGAGCTGTGTCTGGAGGTGAACGTGACGTCTGCGCAGGGAGCGGCGCTGGACGCCTGCAGCTTCGGCATCAGAGGTGAGAGCGGCCCGAGAGAGAGATGAGGAGCGTGTCAGTGTCTGCTGGGTCTCAGAGCCTTCTGTCTGTCTGTCTGTGCGCAGGTCTGAAGCTGCAGGGGGCCACCTGCGCCAACAACAAGCTCTCTCTGTCCACCAGCATCTCCACTGAACTGCCGCTGACGCAGCTGCACTGGATGAAGCAGAGCAACACCGAGAAGAGGAGCATGGTCAGTCTGAACCCTGAACGCTGCTCTGATCTTCAGCTTTCCTTCCTGATTCACAGTCTTTCTCTCGGTGTTCTCTGCAGGTCACGCTGCCCGTGTATCTGAACTTCACACGCTCCGACCTCATCTTCACCGTCGACTTCGACATCGCCACTAAAGAAGACCCGCATCACTTCTACGAGCGCGGAGTCGCCATCCTCTGCACCGACTAGATGCTGCTTAACCAGCCACTTCTCTTGACTAATCATTCCTGTTAGTGTAGTGAACAGAAGCGTATGTAGGTGAACCACAGCTCTGCATGTCATGTGTTTAACTGGAGAGAGTTTAGAGAGTCAGACGCACGTTGGATTGTGTTGGGGTTTCTGAGGCAGATGGGATTGTGTGTGTTTTAGATGGAAAAATGGAAGTTGATTGAAGTTTTGCATGATTGGTGGTTTCCAATAAAGCTCATTTAGAATGTATTTCATGTCTGTTGTTTATTCATTTGAGCCTGTAGGAACGTACGTGTCATAACATACCATCTGTCTGAAAAAAGCTTCTCCAGAGTCCTGCTAAACTGAATTCAGGAAAGCACAAGCACCGGTTCCTGATCAGATTTGACTGCTGTCTCAGAGCTGAGTGTTAGT